AGGCTCCACATGGCAGATTTATTTTAGCATTTGGTGTCAGGCTGTCCTTTATGAAGAGCTGAAGGAAGCCTATCATGTTTGCCAAAAACCTTGGTTTCCAAAAGGCTCAAGAAAAATGGATGGCCTGGTCCCAGCCACTGGTAGGTTTTATGGTTACACATGTGTTTCTTCCTGTCCTACACCCTGATGTATTTTATGCTTCCATTTTAATAGCCAGCTTTGAGGAGATGAGGTGGGGTAGACATATTTATTGTTTGTTTTGTGTTTTGCCTCCGAGACTCACTCTTTGCTGGGGCCTCTCCAGGGAGGTTTTGAACCTGCAGAGACCTCCTCCATGCTGCTTCCTGAACGCTCCTCTGCCTGGGAGACCCGTTTCCTGGCGGGATCCAGATTTTTCAGTTAAGGCCATTGAGGGAGCAAGACTTGGCCAGTGGCTGCTTCTTTTAGTCACAGGGTTTGTCCTGACTCCTGGCCTGGGCCCCAGGCTGAATGATTGCCGGGCGACCCTCGAATCCCTCCACTGCAGACACGTCTTCCTCTTGGGCTCTGAAGTCCTTGCCAGAGCTCCCCCTCTTTGTAGGATCTGCCCTTCCTGAGAGCCCTGGCCCTGCAGGTTTGCTGAGGGGGAGAAAAGGAACACAGGATTTTCAGCCAGAAAGCCTGGATTAGAATCCCAGAACTGCTCCCCCCCATTTCTGAACCTTCTACCTGGAAAGTGGGGGTCATCACATCTGCCTCTCCTCACTGGAAAGTGGGGGTGAGTACAGGGAGGGTTAAAGTGGGTCCCGTGCGGACACTCGCAGCCACTCAGTGCCTGTCGCCAGGGGCTCTTGGTTCTTGGTACTTCCCTCCTCGGTCCTCAGGCTGGGGCGCAGCTGCAGAAACCCTCTAGCCCCCCTTAAAGCAGATGCTGTACAGCTGCAACGAGCCCCTTGCCTCTGCTCAGCCAGCCTTTTATTGTCCTTCGGTGTTTTGTGGCCTCACATCCCACAGCAACTAAATTTCCGAATTTCTCTCTACAAGCCTCCAGTTCTTCCTTATCCCTTCACTTTTGGGAAGATAATCTCCCCTTCTTTTCTTCCCTCCTCCCTCCCATGCCGCTGAGCTCCAGGAGCCTGCCTCCCCCTCAGCCCTGAGCTATGCTCTCTGTCGCAGGCTCAGAGAAAGAGGCTCTCTCCGACTTTCATGCTGACCCCAGGGCAGGGCCTGGATCCTGTCCCTCCCCCACTGGACGGTCAGTGTTCCTGTCACACTCCCTTCTCATCACAGTCCATCATCTGTAATGTCTCCCTCCTCCGTGAGTCTCACCCTCGCCTGCTAACAGTGCAGGGCATCTCTCCGGCTAACCCCTCTGTGACCTCGACAGCCCTCTGGTTATACTGTCATCGTGTCGCTACTGGAATTCTGGAGGAGAGGTGTCTCTCTACCGCTTCATGCCCACCACCTTCCCAGGCTCTGCAGTCTGGTTCCCTCTGTGCTGAGCCTTTCAGAGGGAGCTTCTCATCCAGCCCAGGGGCCTTCCCCCGCCCCCTTCTGCCTGACCTCCCTCAGCCCCGCTCCTTCTCGGGTTTCGGGGCAGGTCAGTGTTCTGGTTTTCCCCATGTCTCCTCAGGCTGGGTGGAGTGTCGAGGGCTCCCCAGGGCATGGTTCTGGATCCCCTTCACTATTCATGCATTTCTCCTGGATGAGTCATCTGTCCTGTGGCTTCATCTGGCCTCACCAATTCTGCAGCCTTTCCCGGACCTTAGGGATTGATGGGGAGAGTATCAGTACCTACTTCATTGCCTGGTGGATTAAATGGGTAACACTATAAAACTGCTCAAGACTTACTTTAGTAAGTGCAGTATAAGGGTCCGTTCTTGCCACCTGTGTGCGGCCTTTTGTGACCACTCCCCGTCTGCCTCCCCACCTGATCTCTTAACCTGTCTCCTTACTCTACACATGACAATTCATTCTTTTCAATTCTTCCAGGGCCCCCCTCCTGTGTCTTACCTCTGCCCTTTCCCATTGGTTGGCCTGGTTTGGAAAGTTGCAGTTCCTTTCCTGCCCCTTTCTCTACCCTGCCTGATGCCGACCTCTCAGTTAGGTCCCAGCCTGGGGACCCTTTCCCTAGAGAATTTCCCGGGCCTTCTAAGTCTGGGCAGTGACCCCTGCTGTGCACCCGGCCCCAGCATACTGCTTTTTCCCATTGCAATAACACTGGCTAGGTCTTGAGGCTGTTTGAAGGGTGAGTACTCTGTCAGTCTTTTTGCCAGTGTCCTAGGGCTGGTGTTATCGTCCGAACAGATGGTCGAACCCACCTCATCCTTCTGGACCACCCCGGCGCCAGCACTCGAGCCTGTGCATTCACAAATGCACTCAATGCTCACACTCAATGGAGTGGGTCTTTTCTGGGGACGCTCCTAAATGTGTGGAGAACCCAAGGATGGAGGCAGGGGCCTAGGGCTTCCTCAGAGGGAGGTACCTAGCACCCCAAAAGGTGGGGGATTTGCCAAAATGTGCTTTCACTGTGTCATAGGTCAGCTCCAAGGGCCCTTATACTGTCTCCCGGAGCTGAGATGACCAAGGTCACACACAAGTGAACGCAGAGCCAGGAAGGGAAGCTGGGCCACTGCTGCCTGTCTGTGTAATTACTTCCCGTTGCAGTGGGAGTTTCACTGTGTCCTCAGTGGAGTTCTGGCCTGTGCCCAGATGTGAACAGAACACTTTCCCCCGGGAGGCACGTCATGGTCCTGTGGCCCAGCCGTGCTGATGCCTTCCATGTGTGGTGTCATCGGCTGGGTCACAGCCACGCTCCAAGAGGGGCTGTGAGCCTGCATTTGTTACTCGTGGACTTTGTGCCCTTGCAGCAGTTACAGGAATTCCCCCGGCACCTTCTCTGCCACACGTGATTCCGAGGACTCTGGGGCCAGGAGCAGCGGGGACAGCCGCAGGTGGAGATGTCCGTGCTCTGCCCACTGACCCTTTGCACGGCCGGCATTTTTTCCCTGCTGTACACAAGCCCGAAGGAGACTGGCTGCCTCCCTGAGTCTCGGGTTTTTGTGGCAGCTGTGTTTGAACCCCAGGTCTCTCTGAAGCCTTCCCACTGAGTTGATCAGGAGAGAGCAGGTGACCCCACGGGCAGTGAGTGGCGGTTGTGAGCATGAGTGCCCTGGGCCACGGCATCCTCTGCTGTGCAGTTCGGAATGCACATGCCCTAGAAGCCTGCCCAGCAGAAATGCAACGCTGTGAACATTATTATATGATTTTTGGGATCACATGGGTGCCCCCTCACCTGTGGGGGGAGACACCACTGTGGTGTCTGAGGCCTCCAGGTCCAGGCCCTGCCCGTCGCCAGTCTCACTCCTTCCCCTCCCTGCCACCCACTCTGGCCCAGCCACACTGTGCTGCTTGTCACTCAGTGCGCACACATGGCCGGGTCAGGGATAGATGGAAGCACGTGCCAGCCTGGCCCGGCCTGGTGGCGTCTCCTCTTACTATTTCCGGGGCCCCCAGGCCTTTTTCTCCAGGTGGGGACAGGGTGAGCTTGTCTTAGACTCCTCGGGAGCCTGTACAGGTGGTGAAAGCCCAAGTCGAGGCCAGACTGTTATAAATGCTCCTTAGGCATCAGGGACTCTCCTGTGTGGACATCTCTTACCCAGGCTGGACCCAAACCTTAAGAAAGAAGGGACAGTTTTATTTTCCTGGCTCACCTCTTAGTTCTCCTGGCTCCTCTGCACAGTCCTGGGAACAAGGTCTGGGGCCTTTGCCTCTGATGCTCATTTCATTGTGGCTGAAAGCCCACTGGGGATGGGGCACAGCGATGCTCAATTTTCAGGCAGGCGACTGGATTTCTTTTTGGATGCTGCTCAGTGGGGCTCATTTCTTATTAGTACAGAAGAAATCCTCGGTAATGTTGAGCCCGTGCCAGGTCACCAGGCGCTGCCCAGGGTTCTTGCCGACTCCTGTTTCTGGCATAAGAAGGGTGAGCTCTAGCAGCATTTGAGACATGCGAACTGTGGAAGGCTTTCTGGAGTTGGAACTTGTAGTGCAGTGGTCACGGGTGCAGGGGAATGCAAGCTGTGCCTGCTGCTAGTTGCATAGATTTCAGACAAGCTGGGCGATGGACTTGTCTGCGTTCACCTGGCACTTGCCCAGCTTTAGCACCAAAGGTCCTGGGCAAGTTGGGAGGTTCGTCACCGTACAACTTCACTGGCTTCTCTAAGCTCTAGCGTCCCCAGCAGGGACAGTGTCACCTGCCTCTTGGGGTTGTTGTGGACGTAATAGGATAGTGCGTGTGGAGTGCTAAGCAGGTGTGTCAGTTTTTAGAGCTGCTGGAACAAAGCACCGCAGACTGGTGGCCCAGAACAACGGGAGTGCGTGCATTGTCTCAGTTCTGGAGGTAAGGTCTGAAGTCGAAAAGCCAGTTGGCCGTCCTCCCTCTGGACCTGCAGGAGAGGTCTTGCTTGCTTCTCCCTCATTTCTGGTGGTTGTCTGGCCATCTCTGGCATGCCTTGACCCATAGGTGCCTCACTGCCATCCTTCGTCTTCACGTGGTGTTCTTCCTGTGTCCGGGTCTTCACACAGCTGCTGTCTTCCATCTGTGCGAGTCTGTCTGTGCATCCACATCTCCCCTCTTTGCAAGGACACCAGTTATCAGGGCTCACCTCATTTTCACTTGACCACCTCTGTAAAGACCCTGTTCCAGAGAAGGTCACATCTGAGGCACTGGTTGGGAGTGCAGTTAGGACTTTAATATATCTTTTGGGTGGACACAGTCCTACTCAGCAGCAGGGTTAGCTGTGACTACTATTGTCACTTGTATCACTGTCTTTGCCATCACTGAGAAACCAAGAATATCTAAGAAACAGCTCCTGCACCCAAGAAGAGAAATGGCAGGAGGCCCGGTCACGAGCAGGAGCTGGCCTGGTTGTTGAAATTCCGTATCTGAAGCCATTTCAGCACAAAGGGTCTCAGAAGAACCCCTCTCTGACCCCCCACTTTTGCTCTCTTTGGTGTAGATGGAGCAGATGAGAAATGAGCTACTTCAGGAAAGAGCTGTGAGGCAAGACCTGGAGTGTGACAAGATCTCCCTGGAGAGACAGGTGAGGGCACCTGGCCCCGAGAGGCTTGGACTGGAGCCCCCAGTGGCACCTGCTTTGTGCAGTACCCCAAACTCTGGGCCGTACCTTGCCCGAGAGAGGTGTTTCTGAGACCATTTCTGGAGAGGGTTTTCTCAGTAATGGTAAATATGCTTGGAAGTTTCCAGTGGCGGGGAGGAGGAGGTGGAATTGCAAGTGTTCTTAGATCCCAAAAAGGGCCACATTCTGATGTTAGAGAATGATAAAGACCCAGTGTTGTCAAACACGGGAGTCACTAACAAAGCTTGCCAGACTCGTTCTTTCTTTTACGTGCCATTCACTGAACACAATATGTGGTTGTGGTGAAGGGGCCTATTTCTCCTACCAGTAGGTTTAAGAAAGGCCAAGGTCACTTATCTGACACCCAGGAGTCCTAGGCCATGGCAAAGATTTCACTCAGGCTTGTAAGGGAATGTGACAGAATCCCTTCTTTTGGGCTATGAGGACAGGGGTGCTTCCCCAGGTCCCTCTGGGTCACCCATTCTGGTGTGAAAAGCGGGCTTAGCGAAGTCACTGACCATCTGTGGGCTCCACCTGTAGTCCGCTCTGCAGACAGAGTGGAGGACACACAGCCCCTCACAGTCTTCCCATCTGATTCCAGAACAAGGACTTAAAGAGCCGGATCATCCACCTGGAAGGTTCCTACCGGTCCAGCAAGGAGGGGCTGGTGGTGCAGCTGGAGACCAGGATCGCAGAGCTGGAGGACCGTCTAGAGAGCGAGGAGAGGTGAGCCCGGCGCGGCTGCGGTGTGGAGGCCTGGCGGGCAGGGACTGCCGCATCACAGAGTGCTTTCACGTTTGTGCCTCTTCCCATCCTCAGAAGCCTTCCCGTGAGGAAGGCAGAGCACGTGCAGCCTTGTTGTTATTATTTCCACTTGACAGGTGAGAAAACTGAGACCCATCCAAGTACTTGAGGAAGGCAGCCTGGCTGAATATTTGTGTAGCTGGACGAAAACTTAGGCCTCCTACTCTTAGTCCATAGCTTTTTCACTGTCCTTGCTGCTTCTTTCCCTGTCCCCTCAGTAGGATGGGCTGCTTCATAAATGACAAGTTTGAGCCAGATTAGAGGCGAGGGTGCTGACTGTGCCCTGAGGGCAAAGTGTATCCACTCTGCTTGGCAGAGGCCAAGTGGCCAGGAGGCAGGTCTCCCACAGTGGGTGGGAGGGACATGGGATCAGTGACCACACACCTTTCCAGCAGCACGACTCTTTGCAGTTAGCTTCCAAATTGCAGCCTGAGGACTAGCACCAGGTTGAACTTGACCAGCCTCAGTTCCTGCCTGTGGCCACTCTCCTTTGAGGAGGGGTGTGGGTGTGCATATGTGTGGGTATGACATTTCACACGATCTGTTATTTGTGGGACTCCTGGGGGCGGGGCTGGAGCAGCCTAGCGTGGCCGCCTGGCAGGGACCTTCTGTCTCTCAAAGTAAAGCTCAGGACAGGGAGAACTCAGGACACGTCTAGTCCCACCTCAGCCCCTCCCTGGCTCTGAAACCTCGGGCAAGTCACTCCCCTTCTTAGAGCCCCTGTGTCCTCATCTGTCCGATGACCAGCCCTTTCCTCCTACAGTCACGTGTCTCTCTGACCCTCGGCTTTGGGTGGACCGGGCAGCCCTGGCCGGGGCTTGCCCTCCTGCATGGTCTGGGCAAGGCCTGCTGTGGGGCTGGGATCAGAGAGCCTTCAGTTCTGCTTTCCCCGCCCTTCCAGGGACCGGGCCAGCCTACAGCTCAGCAACCGACGCCTGGAGCGGAAGGTGAAGGAGCTAGTGATGCAGGTGGATGACGAGCACCTGTCGCTGACTGATCAGAAGGACCAGGTGAGGGACCCTCTGCAAATTCATTTCTGACGAGGCTATATCCCTCAGGCTGGGAGACAAGAGGGAGGTGAGGCCTCTGTGGGAGTGGGGGCAGTGATGGAGTTGTGGACTGATGCCTGTCTTTCACTCCACCCAGTTACATCATAGAAGGGAGCCTCTCTAGGCTGCGTTAGTGAGGATTTTAGCAAACTTCAAACCCTGAACTCAACTTGTGAAAAGCAGATTCCTTTGCCGCAGAGGCTTATTTCCACCTTCCCATGAAACTGGCTGCCCCCCTGTGCATGTCTTGGTGGCCTGGGGAGAAGGTGGCTGGCCCGCTGGCTTGTCCACGCTGGGGCCCCTCTCCATCACAGCCGGGCTGGCGACCAGCACTAACCCACTCTCTCTCCCAACGCAGCTGAGCCTGCGCTTGAAAGCAATGAAGCGACAGGTAGAAGAGGCCGAGGAGGAGATCGACAGACTAGAAAGCTCTAAGAAGAAGCTGCAGAGGGAGCTGGAGGAGCAGATGGATGTGAACGAACAGCTGCAGGGTCAGCTCAGTGCCATGAAGAAGAACTTAAGGTGGGCAAGCACCGTGACCCCGTGGGCACTGTCCCTCCGGCATTCGAGGGGAGCATAGTGCTTTTAGGGCACCCTCACTTCTGCTCCTTCAAGCCAGTGTCTTGTTGTCGCCTTTTGGGGTCATCCCATCCTAGAGATGAGAGCCGCTCACTCCATGTTCAGTCACCCCATGTGCTCGTAGGGTCTCACATGTGTCACCCTCATACCAGTGTCCCGACACCAGCCAACAGATATTATCCCTGTTGTCCATAAAGGGACACTGAGGCTCAGAGCAGGTAACACTAGCCCCTACCACTGTGGAGGGGGCAGCTCCTCTCTCAGCCCTTACTATGCCTACTACGTGACTTCAGGAGATATAAAATACAGTTTTGGTCTGTATCCTCATGGGGACTAGGATATCCTGGGTTTCAGGAGAGAATGGCCATGGTCTTAAGGGGGTCGGGTGTGGAGGTTGCTCTCCCTGCCCCAGGTCGCTGCCTTGGGCATTGGAGTGAGGGAGCGGGTTGGGTTCGTGCTCCTCCATGGAGTTGAGCCTTTCTTGGAGGCTGACTGTGCTGGTAGTTCTCTTATAAACGGACAAAAGACTCTCCAGCCCCTTGAGGATTTTATAAACACGGCCCATCCATCAAGAACCCAGCCCCAGGGCTGACATTAGGGTGCAACATTTAAGGGAGCACCAAAAATCTCAGCAATCAAGGTAAATAATGTTAAGTACAATATTTTAAAAAGTTAATGCAAAAAAGTCCCCATTGGATAAGATATCAAAAATTTCAATTAAGATGGGGTCAATAACAGCACCCTGTTGAGCCATATTGGAGCTTGAAGCTAAATGAAAAGTGAGCACTGACCTTGTCCCAGCCCTGCCCAACCCGCCCTGCCAACACGGGCTTGCGTGCTGAGGGGCGGGCGTTTCCCCTCCGCTGCTCAAAGGGCTGGCAGGTGCAGACCCTTTAGGTTTGCATGCTTCCCTGCCACTCGGTGGGGTGGAGAGGCAAATACCCGAGACCCTTCCTTCACCTCCAGATCAGAGAGACACCCCAGTCCAGGGCCAGGAATCATGACCGTGTTTCCGCAGGCAGAAGAAGCTGCCCAGTAAAGTGCTGGACGACATGGACGACGATGACGACCTCAGCACCGACGGGGGCAGCCTCTATGAGGCGCCGCTGAGCTACACCTTCCCCAGGGATGCCACCAGCCAGATCTGAGTCCACCTCCGATGCCGTGGAGGTAGCCCACCACTCCTCCCAGGGACCTCCGGCCTCCCACAGCAAGAGGCAGGAAAAGCAGTGTCTGTCTGGAGCTGAGACCCATCGCCACCTCTTCACATAACCAGCCGACTTACTCCTCCACGCTCCATTCCTCCTCGGATCTCGGAGTGGCAGTGTGGCTCTCGTATCTTAGACAGGGAGCTGTTGCTGTGTAAATGCTGAGATGCCTGAGGCTGAGCAGTGGCCGCCCATTGGGGTGCTTGGGAAAACATGGTTTAGCAAGGTGACGTCCTCTGCACAGCTGTCTGCCAGACCATTTGCGCTGCTGCTCCTACCCCTCTGCCATCCCCCCACCAGGAGGAAGGGTCCAAAATGCTAGTTTTATTTAATAGCCACTGTGCATGGTGGGAAATGATGTACAGGCTGTATATGTTTTAGAGCAGACCTTCTCCTGACTGCTGCTGTTTCATTCGGAATGCTACAGAGGCTTCCTAGGGTGGCGTGCTTGTCAAGGTTACATATCTTTATTGAGTATTATTTTTTTAAATATGAAGCTACTAGATTTTAAGTATTCAAGAGCAGAGGCAAGACAGAGAAGGCAGAATAAAGACCACTTTGGACACAGAGTTGGAAAAAAGGGTTGTTGTGGTGACAAGGGACAGTTAACCCTGAGAAGAGAAACACAGGTGGTCTTGGTGAACAACTTGCTGATGGAAGGAGAGAGAAGCAGAGGGTCGCTTGTATCTGTGGCCTCAGTTATGAATTTTATTTAGAACATTGTTATGATTTCTGAACCATGCTGAGACCAACTCCCAATCACCAGCTGCCATTTCTTTTACACACGGGCTTGGGAGGCTTAGAAGTAAGGTTTTTGACAAATGATGTGGCCCTCCTGTCCCTCCTGTTCTTATTGGTCCTGTCCTCCCTCTTCCTACAACAGGCCTCTGACTTGGGCTCTCCTGGTCCTTGAATGGAGTGACTGCTGGGGGCAGAGTAGGAGGATATGGGGACAAGGCTCATGGACTTAGGGGTGAAGAAGAAGCAGGTATCCAGTGAGGTCATGGAGAAAAGGAGAAGAGATAAGCAGGTGTGTGTGGGTTTGGGTGGGAAGGAAGAGAAGGAAAAAGTTCTTGAAAGCTGGGGAGATGTGTGTACAGGAGATAGATGGAGCAGGATCTCAGGTTTGTGTCAGGAAAGGGAGGAAGGCAACAAATCAGATGGAGGTGTGTCTGTGCAAACTGGGAGGCTCCTGCCAACTGCCTGGGACAGAGGGACATCAGCCAGCACCAGGCACGAGGTGACTGGGAGTGGTGAGGACTGGGCAAGGCCGCGTGGCAGGGACAGAATCACAGGGAGCGTGGCATTGGGAGAATGCCCGGTATACCAGCACTCCCTCCCGGCCTTCCTGGTGTCTCCTCCCTCTGTGACAGTCCCCAGGTACATCCAGAGGCCAGGTCCAATCACAGCTGGGCTTTCATAGGTCAGGGCCAGGGAGAGAACCCTGTGAGCTGTGCACTTGTTGGGGCAGAGGAGACAACGTTGGTCTGCTTCAGCGGTGTACCCAAGCTCCCCAGTAGATGAGAGTCCTGTGGACCTGAGAACTCCATGACAATTGCTGTGGGGGAGCAGGGACTCTCTGTGCCCTACCTACCCCACATCCCTGAGCCCGTGAAACAGGATTCAGAGCGATCAGCCTGGTTTAAGGGCAGGTGTGACCCCCCCACAGGTGAGGCCTCTGGAGGCCTCTGGAGGACATGGTCTGAGGCACTGGGAATGTAATGTGAGTAAAAAGAATCAAAATCACACTGCTCCTGGAGTGAATTCAGGGGAAGGGAATGATAGACAACAGTCATGCAAACAGACACAGATTGAGTCCCCACCCAACCCTGGATGCCCCTGACCCCTTGGGGCTGCAAGAAGCCTGCAGTTGGTTGCCCGGCTTGCTCACTGGAACTCCTACCATGACCCTCACTGTGGTCATGCTTCCCCTGCTGCTTCCGCTATCGTTAGACATTTGCTGAGAAGCCTGCCTAGGGATGCCACAGCCCACTCGTGACGGAGGCTGGGAGATGAGAAGGCTCTGAGGCCCAAGAGCTTTGGGAGTGATGTCTGTCTTGGTTTGAAAGAAAGCCCCAGCCCCTTGTTTTGGCCCGTTCCTCCGGGTACCCCTGGCTGGCTGCAAGGAGCAAAGATGCCCATGGAAAGAGAACAGATCACCAGTCAGAAGCCTGGCGTCCTTACCCTAAATAATGGGCCATTTTAAATGTTAAATGTGCCATTCTTCACAGTATTGGAGCTGACAGCGAGCTGGATGCACACAGTGTAGCTTTGGGGTGGGAAGAGAACTGGATTGGGCATTGAACAAGGTATTTTCAAGTCCAGGTTTATCTTATCCCAGTGACCTTGATGGGGCATGTGCCCTCAGAGTCACAGAGTGCCCAGAATAAGTGAGGACCAGGGCCCAAGGTTCTTTCCAGCTCTGACATGCTCTCATTCTTTGATTTTATTATATATATCTTTTTTTTTTTTTGGTTTATTGCTTTAAGAACTAACCCCACTGAAGAATATTTTCTTTAGCTAGCTTAAAAAGAAAAAATATTTTATTTAATAAATATGTGGCCAAATGCAATGCTGAGGAGACAATCATCATCTATCTTTATAATTTTTTTCTGCTCCTGGGAGTCATTTGACAAGCCGGTAGGCTTGTCCTGTTGGGTGTCTGCATTCGGGTCTGGTCTGATTGCTTTGGTTTGTCATGGGGAAGAGACGTTCCTGTATAGCTACCTCCATGTAAGTGAACTGGATTGAGCAAGATTGCCTTTCAATAAATGGTGTCACCCGACGGGATCTCAGCCCTCCCATTATTTTGACTTCCTTGTTTTCTCCAGAGCTTAGCTCTGTGTCTGCCAAGAAATAGCCAAAGTGAATGGCTGGAAGCTGCTCAAGGAAGTGAAATCTGGTGGCAGGCCAGGCCTGAGACCGGTTTCTGAACCAGAAGGGTAGGGAGGGCTCAGGGGTGAACATGAGAATAAACAGGCAGCCCCTGAATATTCCTCATTCCTAAACCAAAATGGGTTCCCTTATCATCATGTAATCTCTCTTTATTGACAGTAGGTATCATGGTCTCCATTTTATAGGAAATGGAAGTTCTCCACAGAAAGGACCTTGGGGTCAGCCAATGGGAGTAGGTGGAGGTGGGGCATTTCTCAGCTGTCATTCCCTGCTTTGTGCAGTGTTCCAGGCTGTGGCTTCTGTTTGTGGGCTCCCTGGTGCTGCAGCCATGGGCTTGGGTGACCACACCTCTTCCTCGTGCCTCCAGGTCTCGAGGTGGGCGTGGTTTCCAGCTGCTGTTCCTCTGGGGCCCTCAGCAGCTCTGGCAGGTTCTTGCAGCTCTGCCTGCCCTGCAGGGCAGCTCTTCATCCACCACCTGGGCCACCGCAGGAACTCTCACCCAGTGCCCTGCCCACTGTGCCCTCGCCCTCGATGCCCCCAGTCACGTGAGCATCCTCACAGCCCACAGTCCTACAGCCCTTGATTTTCCTTATTCTGACCAGAGCATCTCAAGTAGAAAAGATTTTCTAATTGTAGTAAGTCCTCCAAGCCTGTGCATAAATCATTTGCTTTGCTTAGAAGTCAGGTTTATTGAGGTATCATTTTATCCTATGGAGTAAAAGGTGCCCTTTTTGGTGTTATTTACTTTTGTAGCTGTATTTAGGCCTCTTTCCTTGGCCCCTCTGCCAGGGTGCTTGTGGGAATGAGTCCTGAGAAGCCACCTCTTCCTCAGGCCTGATGGAGGCATGTCACCCAGGAGCCCAGAATCAAAGGGAAAATCTTCCAGGCCCACAGCTCCTTCCTCCACATTTTTGGCATTCTTTCTTTGAACTTGAGGATAGTTACAGTGATCCTGTCTTTGTTGGAGACAGTCATTAGCCGGAAAGTTTTGTGTTCTAAGTTTTCAAACGATAGGGAAAAATGACGCAACAGCAAGTTCCCATCAGGGGCTTAACAGCCCCATACCCAGAAATTCCAGGCTTTGCAGAGACATCAGCAGCGACTGGGTCCTGCTCTCAGACCTGCCGAGTACCCAGCGCTGAAAGTCACAGCAGACACTCACATGCTTGACCTGAGACCCAGCTTGTCTTCATCAGCAAAGCAAGATTTCAGTGTGTGCCCCACGCTGGGTTTATTAAAGCTGGAAAATGCTCAGTGCAGTTTCAGAACACATTCAGCAACAGTGCCTATTCTGTGGGGGGACATTTATTTGCAAGTTTCCCAGAGTGCGGAATCTCACTCGGTCTCACAACAGATTGTCAACAACTCCTTCGTGACGCCAGAGGTTTTCTGGGTAAACAGAACTAAGCAGTTTTATGAGAAAGGCAGGAACTGACAGGGAGTCCGAGGCTTGGGGAAGTAGGATAATTTGCTGTAGGTCACACCAGGAGCACACAGCCAGCCCGTGGGCAGACCTGCCAACTGCGGGCCAGGTGCTGCGGGAGACAGAAGGGTGAGACCACAGTCTAGGACCTTCAGAAGCTTCCAGTGTAATTGTAAGAGTGGAGATTACTGAGCTAAGTGGAAATGAGATATTAATACTAAGTCCTTCATATACTTACGGCTTACCAAATTTGTCTGTCCATGTGCTTGGCTAGCTCACACTACGTATAGTCAATACCACATTTTCTCTGAGACTACATACAATGCGATAGCTAACACATGTCAAATTTACCTGCCATGTGTCAGGCATTGTTTTAAACCCTTTACATGCGTGGACTCATGTGGTCTTTACAACCACCCCCTGAGCAGGTACTGTGGTGAGAAGTGAGCTGCCCAGGCGGAGGGGTTATTGCCCTGCCCGAGGGCACATGGCAGGAGGTGGGAGAGCCAGGATGGGCGTCTGGGTCTGGTTCTGGGGTCCACACTCTGGACCAGGAAGCTCTGCTGCCTCTCACCCACAGTCACTGCCTGGGAGCACAAAGGTCTCACTAGATCTTGTATTAGGGACTCCTGAGCCATCTTGATCCTCCTTTCAGATCTCCCCTTCAATTGTGGGGTGCTAGCCAACTGACAGCATGCTGCCTGCCTCCACTCTGAGCTCTGCATGCAAAGGCAGCTGGAAATCAGTTAACCTTCAGAGCCACACACCCGATGGATGCGGCTATCACAGATTTTTAACCTTGCTGTCTGTGGTGCCATTGGCTGCTGTGACCTCGGATCTCTCATTTTGCCTTCGATGCTCCTCTGGTGCTGTGCCAGCCTGACGTGTCCGGGCCTGAGCTGGGTGTGCTGGCTGCCCTGGGAGGTCACCGGGCCTCCCCGCTGTCTCACTGTGTGGAAGGTGGCCTTTGGGCAACATCAGCAGGTCCCTGAGTTGGGTGGAATGTTCACCTTTCCAATCCCCAGACTGCTTTGTGATGAGAACCTTCTGGAACAGAATATGGCAATAATAACCTTTACTGTGTAGTTAGTACACCTTTCATATTAGTCTTATGTTTAAAACTGCACCAGTGACCTGAAATGAGCAGATTGTCCTTGTGAAATCTGTTGGCTGAGGTCACAAGTAACACCTCTTACCCCAGAGCAGCTCAGAATATTGGGTGATGGGCTGGAGGCTAAGAACCCTGGGTTTGGCAGCAGAGTTTGCTAGGCTGGAGGAGTGTTCCCAGTGGAAGTGGGCTCTGGATCCCTGCGAGTGAGCAGGGTCCCTGTGTACAGGAAGGGAGAAAGTCTCTGGGACACAGCCAGCTTCAGGACTTAGAGGCCTGTGCAGAAGCTCCTCTTGTGGGAAAAAGACCTGTCTGCCTCAACTGGTCCCAAAAGGAGTGGGGCTCCTGCTGTGGAAGCTGGCCTTCGGCCTCCTTGACTTGGTGTGTGAGCTGGGGGTGGGGAATATGTGTACAGGTTGGGGAGGTGATAGGCACCTGCCTCCCCATCCACCCAACATGAAGGGTATCCCCTTCCGAACCCCACACAGGGACCCTACAAAGACAAACCAATGTTGCCCTGGGGATGGATCCACTGATCTTTGGGAGCAATGGGAATGATTCTTGTTTTTCTTTTTTCTTTTTTAAACATCAATGTGTGGTTGCCTCTTGTGTGCCCCGCACTGGCAACCTGGCCGGCAACCCAGGCATGTGCCCTGACTGGGAATTGAACTGGCGACCCTTTGGTTCTCAGGCCAGCACTCAATCCACTGAGCTACACCATCCAGGGCTGATTCTTTTTGAACATCTAAAATCCCATCCCAGGGTAGAAACTGCAACTGGGCAAAGTCCTGTGGATGAGGAATTTTTATACTCTGATTTCATCTGCGTCCCATGTGGTGGGTGCTGGCAGGCAACGTGCACAGAGACAAATAACTTCTCCACAGTCAACAATTAGTAAAGAATGGGGCTGGGGGTAAAGCCTGGTCTACTGCTCTTACCGACCCCAAGATTCCCTGTACCTCGGCCATTCTCCCTTGCTGCCCCCTCAAATACTCACTGCTGACCACCCCACCTGAGGACATTAGGCACAAAAGCTAAGTGGTTTGTCTGAGGTCACAGCTCCTGGCCTCGAGATCGGAAGTCTGCTTTTGGAGTGCGAAGCCTGCATGAAAGGAAGGCAGACAGCCTTCCCACTCCCGCCTGCAAGCCCCCTCCTCAGTCTGTCTAACCTCGTTCCAACCTCCCCTGGCCCTTCCGGTCCTTCCAAGACAGGCTTGTTTTCCAGGAAAGGACTTGGAGATTAAGATTAAGCAGGTATCTCTGCTTAAATGCCCTCCTGCCTTTCAAAGGCCCGGCCTTCTAAGCCTGCCAGTCTGGCCCCTTGGTTTACTCGGTTTCACCCCTGGGCTGGGGCTGCCTGGCCTTTCATCGGGCGCCAGTGGTCCCTGGCCTATCACTGGGCACGAATATGGGGGCTCTTCTGAGATAGGTGCAGGGTTCCCTGCAGAGCCAGGTAAGGGAAATGAGATCTGAAAAAGGTGGCGACAAACTCCTCCTGGGGCTCCTGGCTGCTCCAAAAGGAGACAGTCCCTGTCTCTGCCCATTCTCCTGGGAGACATCTGGCATTTAGATAATGAAGAACTAGAAAACAGAGCTGGCCTCCACTCAGCCTGCCTGTAGCCTCCTGGTCTGGCCAGCTGTCATCCACCGCTGGCCCTCCCGCGTAGTGTTTATTCTGATCCACACATGGCTTCCTAAACATGCTTCGTTTTCCGAAATGAATAACTGATTCTACTGCCTCCTCCCCGTCATGGCAATTTAAAGAATTTTGTCTGTGATTCATTGTTGCTGGATTCTAAAAGCAAGTACAAACACGCTTGTGGGCTTACTGAGATCACGTGGCCTTCCCAGGCCCTGTGGAAAGGTGAGGTGAGCCCAGGATGAGTGGGTTAGCCAACCGCTGTGACAGTCAGAGGTGCAGGCCGGAAGCACCGCACTCCCCCGGCTGACCGTCACATTGGGGCTGGCTCTCTGAGGACTCTCAGTATGTCCAGATTTGGCTTTCCAGATGTTAGGAAGCCAGCTGTAGAGTTAGTCTGTACTTTGCTACTAACATCAGCAACAAAGACAATAGGGAACACTTTCTTGGCTGGTGTGACTCTGGATTGAGCACCAGCCTGTAAACCAAAGGGTCACTGGTTCGAATCCCAGTCAGGGCTCATGTCCAGGTTGGGAGCCAGGTCCCCGGCTGGGGGGGATGGTATGCAAGAGGCAATCGGTCAATGCATCTCTCACACATTGACTTTTCTCTCCCTTTCTTCCTTCCTTCCCATCTCTCTAAAAATAAATAAATAAAATCTTAAAAAAAAAAGACAAGAGGGAGCACCACTTGTCTGGGCTCTGGGTCTGTGAGAATTGCCAGTG